GTAGTCTATAGATAGGTTAGGCCCATCGGTTCAGGACTTTTTGGCAGTTCATTTCTCGCGAAGCAGCGTTGGAGAAGCCAAGCAAGTTGGTGGCGATGATTGTCTGCAGGCGGCATCCTGAGACCTCGCCGTTGACAACAACCATAGCCGGCCCAGTCCGAGTCTGCCATAGCTGGGGCATCCTCAGCGCATCTACCCCTGGGGGTATCTGCGTCTGGCCGGGCTACCCTGAGGCTCTACACTGTGTATTCGTGGGTGGTGGCAGCCATAGCTGCCTGTTCCTTCGTCAGAGTTGTTCATCTACACTGAAGACTTCATCGCAGGACCTGTTCTCCATCAGGGTGGTTGGCGCTGGCCTCTGGGAGGCTGTTCTGATCTGGCGCTACTAACTGGGTGTAGGATAGAGAGTGGGGTGCGTGTTCTGAGAGTGGCGAGATACTGGAACAAACTCTGTTACGATAACTGTTTGAGTGGTTCATCATCAGTGTGAATTTCAATTGTTATCCTCGCAGGTTCTTCTTGTGATTGGTTGTTGGGAGTTTGTCAGAGAGTGAGAAACACTGTGTGTTCTCTCCCCATCTGTGCATAGCTGTATTCCACTGCCTACTCTTATCTGTGTGCAGTGTGGACTCTGTCTCCGCTCCCCCTTCTTTTATGCATGTATGGGCATGTATGAGACGGTCTGTGTGTGAGTGGAGGTACAAATCGTCAGACAACCAAGGTCATAAGACTCTGGGCCCGGTTCCCAGCTATAATAAAATTGGGTTTTCTCTTTAAGAAAAAAAAAAAAGCAAGGTATCTGTGATTCCCAGGAAGTTGGCGAGAGGGGGAAAAAAAACAAAAACAAAAAACTCTGTAACTAGCTGCCTTGCATTTTTGCGGTCCTTTTCTGACTTGTTGCTACTGCCACTCTTGCTGCTGCTGCTGTTGTTGTTGCCGTTGTTGTTGTTGTTGTTGTTGTTGTTGTTGTTGTCGTTGTCGTTGTTGTTGTTGTTGTTGTTGTTGATTTTATGATGATGATGATGATGGCCGCAATGGTGATGATTACAATAATGCGTCCACAGACAGCCATCAATCTAACAATTCCCACCAGCAATCAATGTTATGACAGAATGCCGCTCCACCCTTGTCCCGACATACCACTCTCATTTTCCGATGTCCTTTATCAGGATGAGTACACACCTCCAAACGATGAAATCATATGCTGTCAATGCCACCCCCAATCACTCCTCAAGAAGTGGTGGTTCCTATCCGTGATACTTACTGGAGGAACTCTCTTTTTTGCCACTGTCATAGCGATCATTGCTCATCAGAGATATAAGCATCACACATGTTCTAGCTGTCACAGAGGCAGTGAGCACAATCCCCAGCCTGTCAACCGTGCAGGGACAGTTCAGCTGCCAGCTGGGAAGTATTGAAGTCCACCTGGAAAGCCTTTGTAGGGGAAGATATCATCTTTTTTTTTTTTTCCACACAAGTCCGATGGGAGACATCATCGAAAAAAAGAGAGGAGCTCAATTATGGTACTTGTCCTGGATGAGTACGTAAATGGTAGCAGCGCACGGGGAAGGCTTCTGAAGGTGAAGATTGAAGCACAAAGGCTCAGGTAAACTCCAAAATGAGCAGCAGAGGTCCGTAAGAATATGGTCGCAGTGTGTGTTTTTTATTTTATTTAAAAGGGGGACGGCCTTGAGATATCATCTAGAATGAGCAGCAGAGGTCCGTACGAATATGGTCGCAGTGTGTGTTTTTTATTTTATTTAAAAGGGGGACGGCCTTGAGATATCATCGTTGAACTGACCGGCCCCAGGGAATTCAGAATGATTTATTGTGGTCATCTGATTGTATCTGGATTCGAAGCTGGGTCTGTATTTCAACAGTTTGTCGGTGTACCAAGTTACCAACTGATATAGGCCAGTTGGTCGCAGAGTGTGGTTCAACTTACAAGACATATGCCAGGAAGGCTTTTGAATACCATTAGTAAGATCGATCCACAGGGAGGGAAACTTCAACGTTGGTCCTAGTGTAGTGATAGCAGCAGAGCTCTGTACTCAAATGTTCACAGTGCGCACCTCAACTTATGGTACTTATTCAAGTCCACCAGGAAGGCTGTTTTTAAATTTTATTTTCGTCTTTTTCGGACTATTTCTCAATTTATGTGTGTCATCCTTGCACAGGAACTACCGTAGGAGAGAGGAATTGCAAACAGACTCAACAGAGAAACGTCAATGGTCATAGTGTAGCCGTAGTAGCAGAGGTCATTCATATATGGTCGCAGTGCGCATCTCTTTTTTTTTTTGTGTCCGTGCAAACTGTGGTTTGAGAATTCGGTCGAAAATCCTTCTGGGATATCAAAATCTGTTATTCCTATGTTTCTCTGTGTCCAATTTGTAGTTTTGCATTTTGATTTCCTAATTGAAGAACTGAAGTAATTTGCTGTGCTGGTCCCCGGGCCGCCCGGCGACCCGGTGGTCGCCCGGGGGCGGGGCCGGGCCGCCTGGCCGGTTGTTCCGTCCGGTTGGCCACCGGGCGAGGCCAGCGCATCTCAGAAAGAGGGGGGGGGGCTTCGGCCTTCTTCGACGTGGGGGGCCTTCCCCCCAAAGTAGGCCGTCCAGGCCATCACAGTGTGAAAAAAAGAGCCGGTAGGCCCGATTTTGAGAATTCGAAATGGTGGCCCATCTGCGCCGTCGATCTCCAGGATCGACGGCCCAGAAGGGCCGCGATTTTGAATTCTCGAAATCGGGCGGGAACCACCGCGGCCCTCGTCCCCTCCCCCGTCACCTCTCCCGCCCGACGCCACACTTCGCCCGATGCCTCGACTCAACGGGAAACGCCCGCCAACGCCCACCAACGCCGCCGAGCCCGCCGACGCCCGCCATCGCGCTGTCGAGCCAAGGTAATGGGTTAGTAGTAGGAGAGAGAGAGAGAGAGAGAGAAAGAGAGAGAGATCTTCTTCTTCTTCTTCTTCTTCTTCTTCCTCTTCTTCCTCTTCATCGCATCTTCTTCTTCTTCTTCTTCTTCTTCTTCTTCTTCTTCTTCTACTTCTTCTTCTTCCTCCTCTTCTTCTTCTTCTTCCACATACACACCTGCAAGGTCTGTGACATACCAGCACTGACACTCCCC